ATGGCATGGCTGTGCTGTACATTAGAGTATTAAAAATAAATAGTGATGAGGCTGGGCTTGGTATCAACCCAGTTTTCCTGAATTTGTCAAAGCACGCTAAAAACTCTGCGCACTACCCCTTCCTCTTGACACAATCTGTAGTAACAGTTGTGGTGGGAGCGTTCCCCGCCCCTTTGTGATGTATAGCTGCGGGGCAGGGACCCAACTGATTGGGTTGGGAGGAGTGTCAGGGAACCAGACAGAAACTTACAGTGCAGGTTTAAAAAAATAAAAGGAGGTTATCGAAAATAACAATAAACAAAATGGCAAAAACAATGGAGAAAGTCCAGGTCAACGGCGCCAAGCCAGAGGTCAGAAGCCAAAGTGGGTAGTAAGACAAACCAGGTTATGGAACACTAAGAGCAGGAAGAACAGAAACAATAGCTGGAGTTAGGAACCAGGAGATCACTCAGCCAGAGCCAGGGTCATACACAGAGAACAGGAGCAACAGCAGAGCACTTACTAGATCTGAACACATGCAAGGGCAGAGACTGAATGGACCATCTGATGGTTAAATAGTAAACTGCTGCTGCAACATCACTCTGAGACAGGAAGTTCCCAGGAGTTTGTGGGTGGTTGTAGAATGATGATGTTTACGGGTTTGGCGCTAAAGAGGAATCAACAGTGTCAGACACAATGCAACAGACGACAGGCTACAGCTCAACAGGACAAAGAAGGGTAAGAAACTCTGACAAGGAGCAAGTGGTAGTCACAATTTTGAGCAGGATTGGGCAAACTGAGTTTGTACCAAGCCCAGCCTCATCACTATAATTGAGAGGTTTTTTTTACATGATACATGTATTAATCTATTTATTATGTGAGTACCCTTTTTTAATTTTGTATTCATAGTTGCATAATTTTTCTTCTTTTTTTTTAAGAAATTCATTTTCTGAATTAGTTGAATAAATTAACACCATACAATAAGAAAAACAATATATTTGGTGACGGTGCTCTTTCTGAAATATGTTATGCTCTTTATATCTAGATCTAGTCTTAAATAAAAAATATATAAACTTTCCTAGCTTGTAAGCCGCATGAATGGGTGCTTGTATAAACCTTGTATTCTATAAATTGTGTTACGTGTGTTATTGTTAACAACAATCAATACAGACACACCTCAATTAGGGACCGAGTGCGGTTCCTACGACTGAATTGTTAAGCAAATTGGTCACTAAGTGAGGAATAGAGGAAATCAACTCTAATATGCAGTACATGACTTAGGTTTGCATACCGCAAATACCAATGTACAGTAGTGAATACTGACTGAATGACCAACTGCGGGAATGAGACACAGACTGAGAAAGGGTGATGTGAGATGAGCTTGACCCGAATTCTCATACAGTACAATACCAACCGGTCGGAGAGCTGGTAGTAAGTCTGAGCAGTCGTTAAACAGGTAGGTTGTTAAGTGAGGAGTAGCTGTACTAATGTTTAGACTGACAGACAGAATTGGGGTAATACAAAGGTTTTTTGATAATGGTCCACATGAACAAGGTATAATACACAGTGTTCTATACTGATAGGTTATTAAGATTTGTCTTACAGCAATTAATCAAGTTCAAACCTTCATTGGAAACAAAAAGTCAGTGAATTGTTGGAAAAAAACATTCAATGTGGCTGATAGATAGACAGATGGATATGTAGACAGACAGATAGATTATCTATATGATGATGATGCTTATTATTATTATTATTATTTTGTTATATATACTATCTATCTATCTATCTATCTATCTATCTATCGATCTGTCTGTCTGTCTGTCTGTCTGTCTATCTGTCTGTCTGTCTGTCTGTCTATCTATCATATATAGATATTTTTTATTGTATTTTTCAGACAATGATAGAAAGGTAGATCGATAAAATAGATTAGTAGATACATAGATAGATAAATAGATAGATAGAACAATCTTCCTGTTTGACAGAATATATTTTCATAATACATTTTGAAATAAAATATATTTATATATCTTTGTTTATATTTTATGAATTCTATTTTTATCTATCTATCTATCTATCTATCTATCTATCTATCTATCTCTTCAAA